GCTTCTACCCTCACTCTACATGGAAATTGCTAGCTGAATACCATCATGGAGGGCTGTTTCTGGAGATTGGACATGGTGTTTGCTATCCACTACCTGAGAGATATCGCCACCGAGGACGTCTCAGGCATTCACCATTTCGGTCCTTTGGTCCTCGCACAGCAGTTGACAGTTCCTCGTAGACGGTGAGACGTAGTCTCACTAATTTATATCAGTAATTATCAAGCTTACAACTCTACGGAGTTTTTGCTTTAGTCTACATGTATATCTCAAGCCTAGTTTAGTCTTAAGCCCAGTACTTGTTGTTACTTGTACAGTTGGGTCGCTTCTCCACTTTGGAGTCGCTTTATTTCTATGTTTAACCTACTATTGTAGTCCCCCCATCTATGGCTGCTGGTAGAACTTATGTATGATAGCAGCAGAAATTAATTTATTTTCAGTGCCATTATGAAGTTCCCATAGGGGGTTATTTTACGTAAAGTCACTAATTAAATCCAAAGTATCTTTTCCCACCTCCGAGTCCGTAGGATTCTACAAGCAAAAGAGCATGAGTCAGGATAAGGAAAAATATGTAATTTTCTGAATAAAATTGATATTTTATACTTATCCTGACTCATGAGGTAAGCCCTCCCATCCTCCCCACATGACACTTTGGATTTCCCTGCAAATTCAAGTGTCGGGCTCGTTATCAGGAGAGAGTGAAGCATGTGGGCCACGGTGGCGCCGTCTTTCCCGCCAGTGGAAGCAAAGAGGGGCAACTCTTGGTGAGTAGTGATTAGTGATTCACATTATGTTTCAATTGAAGTGAGCTTCAATAGGGAGATACAAGTGTTCTACTATGTTCAAGCAAGAAGAAGAAGACAAGCAAAAGAGCATGAGTCAGGATAAGTATAAAATATCAATTTTATTCAGAAAATTACATATTTATAATAAAATTTACAATACAGAGTACTATTATTTAACCCAAAGAAATATAACCTAGCATTGTGTAATTTTAATTACAGTTTTATGTAAAATATATATAATCAACACTAAGGTTATCACGGACCCTCATGAGCGTGGTAAGCAGAAGTTATGCGCACATGGAATGGGTTAAAATCTCGGAAGCCATTTACATTCACACATTTTACCGATGTTACTGTAGTCAATGGAAAAGCAGTAGGTAATCAGTTCATGATTGTTGAATGGGGTAAAATAAAGCGAGCCAGTTTGTTGCTACAATAAATATGATATTTAGAGAAACAAAATGTATTATCCATTTTCTGTCAACTACACTTCGTTTCGATCCATTGAGTAGGCGCTTAATATATATGATTGTGAATTCTTTGAATAATGTGGACCAAAGTTATAATTATTGGTAACTGCCAGTTGTCTGTGGTCTGTGTTTGCCGCGATTAGGACCCCATCGCGGGGGATCGACTTATGCACGAAACATACCATTTTGACACTGATTTTAATGGTCAAGTTTGGGGGTCATCTTATCCATGGGGTCGTCTTATAGACGTTAATATACGGTAATTGTTTCGTCACACTATTTTCCTCTTTCTGTCTTTCTCTTTTCTTATATGATAAGTATTTAATTGTTTCTCCTAGTATCAATAGCATAAAGAACAACTGATCGTCAATAGTAAATTCATTTTCATTTATATCTGTGTTTTCATATTGTGAACACGTTTCTGAGATTATACGTTTAACCATTTTGACATATTTTTGATCTCTCAAAAGGGAGTTATTAAATTTCCAAAATCCTTTTCTACGGTCTATTTCATTTAGGGTAAAGATAATTGATATAGGAGAGTGATCGGATTTAAAACTAGCCTCTATTGGCGTATCTGTGATGGAGGGAATCATGTTGTGAGAAACCAAGAAATAGTCAAGCTTAGCCTGTTTCAGTGGAGTTGGTTGCCGCCATGTATATCTTCTTTCATGAGGAAATCTTTCTCTCCATGGATCTACAAGATCAATTTCGTCTTTTAATTTTAGTATTCTCTCTCTCAACTTTGGATTATTATTATGTTTGTAGTTATATGTATCAATATCATAATCTTGAACTACATTCCAGTCTCCACATACAATTACATGATCACTTTTCAGTGAATGTTTCATTGTGTCAAGTTTATCAAAGTTTGTTTTATTTAGCGTCGCACGCACAACTAAGGTATTTCAGCGATGGGGTAGTACACGTTTTAAGAAATGAGGGGGGAACAAAAAATAGAAATTTTGAAAGAGTGGTGTTACTACCAAAAAAACACCCAAAACAACTGAGTATATATATTAACCCTTTCAACCCTTTCAACCCTTTTCACAACGTTATGAGTCCCCAGACACCGGAGGCCGATTAAGCGGCCAGGCAGTAGTCACGTCAAAATGAGACATAATTTTAGGAACCTACCTGACTTATGATTCATATATTAAATCTATCACATTTCACAATGTCTGAAAACACTTATTAAATTTCAATTTATCATATATTATCAGCAGAATTAAAATTATAAACTATTTTTCACAATGTTATTGAAAACAACGATTCTCGGACACATGCTTCGGCAGCGGGTCTACAATAACATTGTGAAAGAGCAAAGTAACGATGTTTCGAGGAATTCATTAAATAAATTGAATAAACTAATGAATAAAATCAACAACAACATTCATAAAAGTTGTCAAGCGTACATATAAAATTACTATTTCCATCTTTTGTGCGATCATGTAATGCAAGTCAAGTCACTGACGAGTGACATCTCGGCTTCGCCGCCTCAATCTTCACTTTCGGACCGCGATGTTTAATGCGAAAATATATACATGAAGCATTTTTGTCACAGGTCATAACCTAGCACGATCGTCCAATAAGTTCCATAATTTACGTACAGGTAGCGATTTCTTGCTTAATATGTTCAGAATAGCATTATTTTACCCAAAACTTTTGTCTAAATCTGAAGGTTTTCGTTTCACGAGGGCGGTATCCATTGCCGTAATATGATTGGCTGCCTTAGGTCACGTGTCTGATTTTGACCAATCACGACCCTTATAGCAGACTGTGGCGAAAAGCGTCATTAGAAACCAATCTTTATCCAATAAAATAAAGCTTCTTACAACTGTGAAAATACTCTTGGCAAGGGTACAGTGATATTGTTGATGTTCAGAGCTTTCGAAGCGATGCCCGACATCAAGCGATTAAGCCTCGCATGTTATGCATCTGAAAGCGAAAGCGGAGGTATTTTCCGTTGTTATGTCATGTTACGGCGGAAAGCCACAGATATCGGAAATAGGCTGACCATACATATTATTTAAGAAATCTTTTTATAATAATTTTCTGATGGCGTAAAATGAAAATGTAAAAGAAAAGGCCGCGGGCATGTTATCACATGTCACAAATGGAAAATAATCGCCATAGTTTTTGCTTCTTTCGTGGTTTATCTGGACGTTATAAATGTAAGCTTGCATTTTCATTCAAAAATACATTTATTTAAGTTGTAGTTGTATTATTTGAATAATATTATAAAAATAAAATTCATATTTATCAACAGTAGGATTAGATCTTTTAAATGGTGTATGGGATGTAGTAGCAATAACGTTTTACAAGCTTATAATTTCCTTCATAAACATAGGCTTCATCTATGACCTCAGGGTCTCTGGGAACTCGGTGTCATGGCAGTAAATGCCTCTGGTTGACTGGTGTTGAAAGAGTTAAGGGAACTTAAAATGGGAGGCCGAATTAGAAAGGTAAAAAATATGAGATAGGTTAAGAGTAATGGAGATTTCGAATTTAAAAATAGATGTAGTATAATAAATGGTTATTTTTATTGTTTAAAAACATATTTATTAAGTGAATAATGATGAACATATAAAAGGTTAAAAAATGAAGTTGATAAAAAGAGAGAGCCATAGGTAAACATAACCCATGTACTAATATGTACATAACCCATTTCCACATATCCTGCTCAAAATTCATCTCAAAGTCACAAGCTGTGTTGATCTTGTTAGAATTACTGGAGAACAGGGAGAAGGACGGCTCCCACTTGAAAACTTAGCCTGCTCTAGTGAGACGACACGGTTCAGTGGTTACAGATATTAGGCGTTCTGGGATCTCTGCTAAATAGGTAATGTGGGAGAAGGTTAGGCAGGAAAATTAGATGATTTGACTATACTCCATTTTAACACTAATTATGATTTTGTTACTCAGGTTGTTAAGAATTTTATGTTTTGTCTGTTTCCATGGCAACAGGTTTGACTTTGACTCCGTTCATAGTGGTGTGTTTGTTTGGACCATATCACTGAAACTAATAGGTATTCTTTCATGAGGAAAGATGGGTTGTTAAGAATTTATGTTTTGTCTGTTGCCATGGCAGTAAGTTTTAGATTATTTCCATAATGTTGTGTTTGTCATGGCCATATCTGGAGAGAGTGCTAGGTATTCTTTCATGAATCTGCACAAACAAAAACTAGGTTGTCAACTAAGGCCTATTGCTACCGGTATAAGGGATTTTTAATATTTTTATTTTTTCGTTTGACTTTAATATTGGTGTGCACCTGACATAGATGTACAAACGCATGAATCCCAATTCCATGTTTTTGTTTTGATAGCTCAATAACTTCTCTTGTGTACAGACGGACAGATTAGACAGAAATTCTCTGATCAAGTTGGACTTTACGTAACTGTCAGATGATTATTTCTTTGAAATTTGTGGGTCGAGGGATTTGTCATCATCGGATGACTCTTGTTTTTCTTCTTGTTGTGGTAAGCAAAAGGTTTGTATTGGCCTGCACAATAACCGAAATATGACATTCACTTTGACATACATTTTGCCATGTATTATCTCTATGCTTTAAATTAACATCTACACAGATTTTCATTCACAACACGTCTTCCTTCGTAAATCATTGAGAAAACAGCTTACTTTATATACTGTGATTTTATGAAAAAGAACTATCCAACCTCATTTAGAGATTGCTATTATCAGAACCATAACATGAAGTGAATAGTATATTTGAAATGTATATTTCAGTGGAAGGCTCATGAGGGAGTTGTGTTGGTGGCTGACTGGAATCCTGTCAATAACCTCATCCTGTCTGGTGCTGAAGACTGCAAATATAAGGTTGTTATCTTAATGTTATCAGTTTTGTACAAAAGCATCCCTTGTTCTGAAACATGCTAAATATTTACAGGTTCGAGGTATAATAGCTGTTCTGGTATACTGAATGTAAACATATTACCATGCTATATTTTTTCAGTTGCTGATATATCTTCAACAACTCTGCATCACTCCGCAAACATTCCAATACTTACTCCCAAACTGTGAAGTCTGACAGACTGCACAAATAACAAGTGAATGGCACAGTGTTTGCAGTATCTTTATGACAGTTGAAGTGCTGGTTAAATCATGTAAACAACATGACTGCTGACTATGTAATTCAGTGACAGTTAATTCTGTGTGATTACCAAGGCCGGAGACAAATGATTATTGATGTTTCACTTCTGTACGTACAAAGGACAACTTTGTATAAATAAGGCCAGAGACAACAGATTATTGATGTTTCACTTCTGTACGTACATAGGACAACTTTGTATAAATAAGGCCAGAGACAACAGATTATTGATGTTTCACTTCTGTAGGTACATAGGACAACTTTGTATAAATAAGGCCAGAGACAACAGATTATTGATGTTTCACTTCTGTACGTACATAGGACAACTTTGTATAAATAAGGCCAGAGACAACAGATTATTGATGTTTCACTTCTGTACGTACATATGTCAACTTTGTATAAATAAGGCCAGAGACAACAGATTATTGATGTTTCACTTCTGTATGTACAAAGGACAACTTTGTATAAATAAGGCCAGAAACAACAGATTATTGATGTTTCACTTCTGTACCTACTATGCGTACAAAGGACAACTTTGTATAAACAAGGCCAGAAACAACAGATTATTGATGTTTCACTTAGGACAACTTTGTATAAATAAACAATGGAAACTGTTCAGAAGCATTCACTGGAATTCAGAAACAAATTATAAAATTCAGACAAATATTCTATAAAACCCTTAGGTTAACTAAACCAAGCAAAGAGGTGAAAGCTGACCTAAATCATGGACCATGCATCAACCTCCAGTTCAGCTTGGACAGCACTGCTGCTGTGAGCGAACTGTATTTCTGAAGCATATTAGCTATGATGTCATCTTTCAGCAGCCATTGACAACAGGACACAATTTATGTGCTGCATTATGTGCACTAAAGGATCAGTAGAACCTCAGGTGACAAATGTAGTTGGTGTAAATGTGCAGCTGTTGTTGCAGGTGTGGGACACTTATGGCCGACTGATGTACAGCAGCTCACCTCATGAGTATCCCATAACCTCAGCTTCCTGGACACCAGACGGGGAGATGTTTGCTGTTGGATCCTTCAATACCCTCAGACTCTGTGACAGGAGCGGGGTTGGTATTTGCTGTGTATTTTGATTATGGATATTGAGTGGCTAATTCTCAGCCCTCACTTGGCTCATCATGAGTCAATTATAGGGCTGGAATTAATTTTCACATGTTGATATTGGAATAATAACCTGCTTTTAGTTTACCTTGGTCTACATTGTGCTTACCACTTGTGTTAGCTTCAATCACAAACATGTATCAATGGTTTCCTGTTGAAAGGATTGACATTCATTCCAGTTGGCCTCACTCGCACATGTACATTGGCCCACCTAAATCTAGTCCATTTGTATGTCTCCTTCCAGGCACTCATGAGGCACAGTTTCTTACTTGTACAATGAGAAAACCTCAACAATATTGTTATGTTCAATCTGTTTTATTCATGTAAGCATTAGTTTTCATAAATTCAGATATCTGCTGGTACTTATTTGTTATCCTCTGGCTAGACGTATTTTGACTATGCTGTTTTAGCCATATTTCACGTTTCTTTTCTTCATAAGATTGGCACTGCATGTCACAAACCTAAATCTGTGAGAGCCCGTTACATTCTATGCCCCTATTGTGTAAATCCTAGTAATCTTTTAAAGACAGTGTGAACAACTTTCCATTCAGTATTATCATCCCTCTGGAACTTCCTTGTCTACTCAAGCATGAACAGAGCAGATCTATTTTCTACGCCAGTTTCTATGCCACCAAGAGCATCTGCACCCCCTACGATGTCAGACGCTCCCAATGTTTGAACTGTGCCTTTGTCTAATCATCTTCAGCCCCCACATCTACTGACTTTCTGAAGGAGGCCTCCATATCAAGATTCCAACAATCAACCCATGAACAGGACCCTCAAGTTTTGGATTTTGGATACCATTAGGAAGGCAACATTTGCTCAGACCCAGGCACAGCCTTGTCAATGCCTCAGGCTTCGGCACGTCTTTGGTTTCTTAGCTTTACCATCATTCGTCTCCTTCATGTTGCCAGTCGCCTTCACCTACGAGATGCTCCAGATCATTAGGGTGCTGATCCATTATGCCCTCACAGTCCTCACAGACAGACACTCATATCTATTCATAGTCACAGCGCACAGGGCAACGTCATCCCCTTGGCACCATTCAACACAGAAGCCGTCCCATAAAAGACAAACAAGAAGCTCTAGCTCATCTTGTGGCCTCTCCTCATCGGCACTTCAATGATCCAGGTCACCTTAGTGTCACTTTTCTCCTCCTGTCCATGGCACTGTTATTTACCACTGACCAGACACCAGTGTTATCTTCCACATCTTTTTAGAAAACTTTGTTCCTGACTATGAGGAGGTGTCAGGTGACCTCCGCCGTATTCTTTCTGATGTCCCTATAAAGATGACAAGATCTCAGATCAAGGTGAGTATGTCTCAGACTCCTGACACCAGTGTGCGACCACAGTCACTGGCCCAAATGGCTAGTGAATTTTCATGAGGTCATTTTGTAAATATGTCACTCTCTCCAACTTGTTAAGTTATAATACACTTTTAAATCATGCAAGATTATGGCCCGATAAATATGTTCATCATATTAGCAGCTTAATAATGAAACCCGTGTCTACGTTCAAACTATTTCGCACACTGCCTGACACTGTTGTTGGTGACCAAATTTTCTAGTTTGGATTTAACCTTCAATAAGTTGTCTACCCTACAGATACCAAGGTTTAAGAAGAGAGATTTTACTACATAGGGCCTGAACAACCTTCTTTGACTGATGACACAAGATTCCTTAAGGATACGCATACTAACAACCCCAACAGCGCCAGGAGCCTAGACATTGTTACACTGGATGCTGTTTACATTATCGGTTATGTCAACTTCTGCCATACTGTCATTTACACTGTCAAAGACTCCCCAGACCAGTGCAACCAGGAAATAAATTCTGGAATGAAGTGGCAACTACACCAACTGTCTGCCATCATCGTATACCATCATGATTGCATTGCATAAAGCTATTCTATAGAAAGTCAACTGTGATGTTCTTTCCTGAACACTCCTGAGGCAACTTTGGACCTCAAGGTCACTCTTCAATGGCCGAGTGAAGGCAGTGGCGAAGGAACTTAAGGACTTTGAGTAGAACTATCATTGCAGCCAGTCCAGGATCTAGCCAGGTCTACTGTGAAATCTTCTCTGAAGGAAGGAATTTGAACCTTTTAGGTGTTGTATGAGAGCCTCATCTTCAGGTTTGCAGCCCACAGGATTCCAGTGCTCTAACACAACCAAGACAAATGCCAGACAAGATAGCTGGTTGTCAGATGGCTGTGCTCGTCGTTGACTTCTCAACAAGAACAGGCAACTAGTCCCCTGTTCCTACACAAGTCGTCCCAGTTTCCCTGTAAACTGTAGTTGTATGACTTCACCTGTTCTGGAAGAACTTAAGTAACCTCGGTGACCCATGTATCACCAACACCAAGAGTTTCAGACATCGCCTCCAGTTACATACAAGTGCACCATTAACATTAACTAATCGCATCGTCTAGCTGCCAGGTGGTGGTAGTGCTCTTTTCCTGTGCAAAACTTTAAAACCATTCAATGTTTCTTCACAAAACTTGGCACATACAGTCAGTGGCCAAAAGTCTGTTCACACCGGTGATGTCACGGCTATTTCTAGTGGAGTCGGGTCCCCTTTTAAAATTCGCATATCTATGTAAATAATAAAGGTACTCACCTCAAATTTTCAGAATTTAGAGATATGTGCTCTTAGGACATCCCTGAGTCATCTTGGCAAACTGTCATATAGACGACAAATGTAAACGGGACTAAGCCCAGTCCAAATGTCATTCACCATACAGATGAGATCTTGTCTCGAGTTAATGTCACCTAATATTTAACAGTTTTCCATACATTTTCAATGATATTGAGATCTGGGCTTTATGGGGGCCACAGCAAAGTCGGAATATGATTTTCCTGTTTCCAACGGTTAGCCCGAACGGACACATGACAGGGGGCATTGTCTTCTTGGAAAATCCAATTGCGGTTGACAAAATGCCTGGCAACTTCAGGCCACAAGTGGCTATCAAGAATGGCGATGTACTTATCAGTGTTCATGTTGCCATCAACGACAGTTAAATTTCCCACTCTATATGCCGACACACACACCCAAAACATCACTGAAAACTTCCGAATTTCGTTCATGATCGGTACGAATCCCCAAACAATCGGGTCGCACCCGCTCATCCGACTTTCTCCACACATAAACTTTTCTGTCTTTCCCGATCTGGTCTTGTGTCTCATCACTAAAAATGACATTATCCCACTCATTTCTTCCCCAATGCAATTTTGTCCGACAAAATCGGCTTCTCTTCTCTCTGTTAACACGAGAAATGGTGATTTTCTTGCTTACCACATGTCTACGGTACCCCTCAGTGAACAATCTTCTTCTGACAGTGCGAGAAACAGAGTAGTCTGTCCCTGATTGTTATATTTTGCTGTCAAATCCCCAAGTGTTTGCCGGCGATTCCTTTTCACAAAATGAAAAAGCCATCAACATTCTTGTTGACGATTTTCAGGGCCGCCTACTTCTTGGCAACGATTTAACTGAACCTCCGTCTCGAAAACGTTTTAAAATTTTCTGAATTTATCTAGGGTTTATACCTGTCAAATCAGCAATTTTGTAGCTGGATTGGCATGGATGATTCAACTTAACAATTAAATTTCTTTGGTCAGGTGTCAATTCTCGGTTGACAGGCGGCATGATAGCAGACGACAAAAACATAAACAAAGCAAGGGAGATAATCGCATATTATAGGTGCTACGAATATTTTGTGACCTGTGAAATTTGTACCCCAAATCACATTACGATTGGTGGCTTATCAGCATGGCAAAACGCTTTCAAAGTCAACCCACCGCTCAAAACATGGGCAACGTAACATGTTTGGCGAACAGACTTTTGGCCACTGACTGTAGATAGGTCAGGTGGTTAACTGGTGCCTTTTGGTAGTTTGGGATTTCTGACTAAAATAATTTTTATCCCCCGCAACTCGTTTTGCGGGGGGTATTAAAATGGACTCCGTCCGTGCGTCCATCCATCCGTACGTCCGTGCACATTTGTCTTTTCTGGAGCAGAACTTTAAAATCGTTCAATATTTCTTCGCCAAACTTGGCACATAGATAGATCTGGTGGTGTACTGGTGCCTTTTGGTAGTTTTAGAATTCTGAATAAAACATTTTTGGCATTTCCATGGCAACAAGTTCGACTTAGAATGAAATTGTTGGTAGTGCTCTTTTCCGGAGCAGAACTCTAAAACCGTTCAATATTTCTTCACCAAACTTGGCACATAGATTGGTTTGGTGGTGTACTGGTGCCTTTTGGTAGTTTTGGAATTGTGAAAAAAAAATTTTGGCGTTTCCATGGCAACAAGTTTGACTTAGCCTGAAATTGTTGGTAGTGCTCTTTTCCGGAGCAGAACTCTAAAACCGTTCAATATTTCTTCACCAAACTTGGCACATAGATAGATCTGGTGGTGTACTGGTGACTTTTGGTAGTTTTGGAATTCTGAATAAAATATTTTTGGCATTTCCATGGCAACAAGTTTGACATAGACTGAAATTGGTGATAGTGCTCCTTTCTGGAGCAGAACTTTAAAAACCTTTCAATACTCTCCTTCCACTTTTCTATATACACACCTAAATATTTGACATAATCATAACTCGTAGACATAATCCTGAAGAGTATTTTGCCATTGAGGGGATATTGATGACTTTGTCTTCTTGTTGCATTTCCATGGCAGCAAGTTTTACTTTAACTGAAACTGGTGGTAGTGCTCCATTCCAGAACAGAACTTTAAAACCTTTAAATACTCTAATTCCACTTTGTGGGTATTCAGGAACCTATTGACATACATCAACAGTACCACTCTATTTGTGCATCAGCATTCCTAAGGTACATTAAACCATGGAAGCACTCAGGCAGTCTGTTATTGATAACTGCTGGTTGTGGTGCACCAGCTCTCTTATCACCATTAGTGTCCAGGAACAGGACATGTGACAAGAATTT